GAAAGAGAGAGGAGAGGTAAGAGTAGAAGACATTGAGAAAATGGTGGAGGAGTTATTTTGGTTTTAAAAACCGTATCACTTTGCGTGACGAAATAACATATTGGTCGCGCAAAGACTTGAAATTTTTTTTTTTTTTTTAATTCCCATTTTGGGTACATTTTTAGGATTTTGTGCGACGAATTTTTGGTCGCTCAAAGTTTTGTGCGACCAAAATATTCCCGCGTCCCATTTTTGGTACCTGCCCAAATTTTTAGGGTATACTTTGCGCGACAAATGACTATATATTGGTCCCGCAAAGTCATAAATTTTTTTTTTAAAAACATTCCCATTTTTGGTACCCGCCCAAATTTTTAGAGTTTGCGCGACGAAATACTATATATTGGTCGCGCAAAGTCTTCATAAAAATTTAAACCTACTAATAAATATATATACTATTCAATTTCTTAAGTGTTATACGTACAAAATAAACAAATTTAAAGCTACTAAACGATCCAACCGTCAAACTTATTTGTTTATACTTCGAGATCGTATACGCCAAAATTCGGAAAAAATAAATATTAAGAGATCAAGTAATGGGACAAAACATTTCGACGGTTATAAAAGAAAAATCAAGATTTAACGGTTATTTCAACTCTGATTTTGATGATTTTTTACAGCTACACTCCTTGACCCTATATGAATACAATGACTGCATTCGATCGTCAATTTAAAATATTTACACTAGTGGATACCACAAAATCTTATGTTATATTTAATAAAAGTATAAATAAACTCTTAATTGTTAGTGAATATATTGTTTTGATGGCATACACATTCTATGAAACTAGTTTCAACGATCCAACCATCAAACTTATTTGTTTACACATCGAGATCATATATGCCAAAAATCGGGAATTTTGAATATTTTAGAGATCAAGTAATGGGACAAAACATTTTGACGGTTATAAACGAAAAATCAAGAGTCAACGGTTATTTCAACTCTGATTTTGATGATTTTTCACAGCTACACTCCTTGACCCTATATGAATACAATGAACCAATTTGATCGTCAATTTAAAATATATATTTTCTAACAAAAACCCAATCCAAACTACAATAATATATTTTTCTAACAAA